ATCCCTAGAGTTTCCTGTTCCCGGCTCCTGGATCCCCGTCGCCGGCCCCCCAGAGTTTCCTGTTCCCGGCTCCTGGCTCCCCGTCTCCGGCCCCTCAGAGTCTCCTGTTCCCTCCTCGCCCGCCCTTGTGGGTTGTTTTTTGTTTGGTCCCTCCTCTCCCTCCCTGTGTTTTTTGTGTCCTTTTTTGTTTTTTTCTTTTGTGGTTTTGTCTTGTTCTCGTCTTGGGCGTCTGGTATCCGCCCTTGGGGGGGGGGGGGGGGGGGGGGGGGGTACTGTCATGGTCTGTGTCTATGTGTCTCCTTGTGCCCTCCATTCGTCTCTAGGTGCTCCTTTTGTGTCTTCTAGCACCCTCATGTGTCATGTTTGCATCTTCCTCATGTGTCTCCTGGTGTTCCCCATTTGCCCCTAGATCTTCAGCCCTCTAGGTTTCCCTCCTCAGACATCCCTCTCCCAGGTCCTGTGCTCTCTTGGCCCCCCCTTAGCCACGCCCCTGTAGTTTTCTTTCTGTAGTGTTTTCTGTTAGTGTCAGCTTCCCCTTATGGTTCATGCCTTCTAGTCTTTTGGTTTTTTCTCTTAGGTCATTTTCCTTTGTTACAGCCTTTCATGGTTTAGTGTGTTTTTCCCACCAGTGTTTTTCTCCCTCCTCCCTGATTAAGTTATAGTGTTCACCTGGTCTCTCTCTCCCCACACACCTGCAATTCATCTCCCTCTCATCCTCCCAGTGTATATAAGCCCTGTCTTGTCTCGGTGTCTTGTCAGTCCATTGTTATATGTCAGCGTTGTTTTGGTGCTCTGTGTGAGCCTTTTGTCTCATCCCCAGACTTTTGTGCTCTAGGTGAGCTTTTGTTCAAAGTCTCAGGTTTTGTGCTCCAAATGAGCTTTCAGTGTCCTGAGTTCCAGGACTTTTGGATTTTTGGCTCGCTGCCTTTGGATTTATTTTTGTTTCACCCTGCAATAAAAGGATTTTTACTTTGTATCAACTCCTGCCTCTTGTCGTCTGGGTGATCTGCATTCTTGGTCCTAACCATCCCCTCAACATGACACTTGCTGCCCTGGGCCTGGGCCCTTAGAGTTCGTGGGCCCCTGAGCAATTGCCCAGTTGCCCGTATGGTTAATCCGGCCTTGGTTGTGATGACGATATTACTTGCGATAAATAAAAACTTAACTCAGCAACAAAAATAATCAAAAACAAAGAAATGCAAAAAATCATTAAAATGAGAAAAGCAAAAGATGTGAGGAAAGGGAAAAAGAAAATGAACAAGAAAAGGTGATCAGTGGATCCCGGGAAAAGCATAACAAAGCTAACTCAGGTGTTTGCTAACCATCAAAATTAAGTGCTGTCCGCCTCGGGGGCGGGTGTCTAACCTATGAGAACAACCCACCCATTTGGCCAAATGGGTGAAGAGCTCTATTTGATTTGTTAAAAAAACATCATGCTTCCATTTGATTGACAGAATGCATTACGTGTAGCAAACATTTGAGCTGACCATTCATTGCGATATTTATCTGTTCTTTGCGATATGCATATTGTGCATGCTGATATTGCGATAACGATATATTTACGATATATTGTGCAGCCGTAGGCAGACACCTTAATAACCCTGATGGCTCAGATTGGACATTTTGGCTCCATTTTCAGTACAACACTAAACTTGAGGGGTTGAGATTTAGTCTTCTCCTCTAGTTCTGCTCTACAGGTTCTGGAGAACTGGCAACTCTCATCCTTCTCCTTTGGTGTGAACACATGAAGCTCTGTGCTCAAATGCATCAGATGTTCACACAGAAAAACATCAATGAGGTGCTGAGAGAGCAACGCTGAACAGAAGAAACAAGAAACTTTAGGATAAAACTCACTAAACTCAAGCTAACAGTCCAACTCTGTTCCCATCGAGCTTGAATTGAACCCATTCCTCTCATCTGGTGTTCGACACCAGGACTGACCGAGAGCTGTGAGAATGACCAACAGGGGACAGAGCAGCCTAGCAACAGCTGCTGTAACTTAGTCTGGTTTTAAATCCGTGCCCTTCTGGAGAAGAGCTAACTGTAGTTTAGGATCAGAGCACATCAATCAGCTGGTTGGTAACGGTGTAACTTCTCAGTCATACTGGAATGTTTTTGTTTGGTGTTTCTATTACTGTAGGTGTACTGGGCATGCAGAGGCTGACTGGTCTGTGGGGCTGCATGGTTCCTGCACAGGGCTGGTACTGGAGGTGTCCATTCAGATCCTCATGACTGCAGACTGGGAGAAAGCTGTTTTCTAGTGAAAGGGTTCCTTCCAAATAGCTGCATGTGCTTGTCGTTCTGCTCCTGTTCTCCATCGTCCCAGCGGGTTATTGGACCATGTCAGGATGCAGTCCTGGACTCTAGCTACACCGTCTCTGACTTCCTGTTCCTTGTTCCAGGAAGGACTTTGAGGAGCTGTTTGATATCATCATCACAAACGCCCTGAAGCCTGGGTTCTTCTCCTGTGTGCCCCATCAGAGACCCTTTAGGACCCTTGGTGAGAAGTAATCTATTACTCTAACATTCATTTGTACTTCATCAACAGTACTCTGTTCCTCTGTGTAATGCAGTGCAAGCAGCAGATTTGCATATAACACTTGACTAGGGCTGCAACAAATTCTTATTTGGATCATTGATGAATCGGATGGGGTCTAAACTCGATTAACCAGATTAAACAGGAAATTTTAAATCAAATCAAACTTTATTTATAAAGCGCTTTTAACACAAAAATGTAACTCAAAGTGCTTTACAGATTAAAAAGACCCCACATATCTCACAATGTCATTAACTTAATTACTTAATTAAACACTGCCAGGGAAACATTTTAATCTCCTTCCTTTACTTTATTTAATATCAGAAATGGTTAGAAAACAGTTCAATAGCAAAACAACATGCTATCACCTACATATATGCATAGTTAAACTATGATTAGTAAATTAAATGTATTTCATTAACATGTTCAGTAGTAAGCTACTATAAATGCTAATAATGTTTAATTTCCACTGCTAAATATGTAATGGCGACATATCTATTATGTACAGGTTAGCAATAATCCAGTTTAAACTACATACATTGCATTTCTTGCAGAAATGCTGTTTGAATGCTGGATAGCTTAAACTGTTAGCTGAATCTGCTTAATAGCTGAAGTGAAGCTGAAACTAAGCTAAACTGTCAAAATGAGCTGAATGTATTTAAAGATTTAGAAGCAAAAATCCCCAACAAGTGTAATAAAGCTCAGAATATAGGTGAAGAATGGATAAAAAAATGCTAAACAGCAGAAAACTTTAATCTTTGAACATTTATTAAAAACAAAAGTTGAAACGTTAAACAGCTGGCATTTGAATGAGAATAGTTTAACGGGTACATTTTTACAATTGGCTGAACTGTGAATTTAGAAACATTTGCTGATATCTGAAACTGATAGATTAACATATGTTCAGACTTGATATGGGATGGATGGATGGATGGATGAAATGACGGATGGATTGTTGGATGGATGTTAGATGGTTTATTGGATGGATGGATGGATGGATGGATGGATGGATGGATGGATGAAATGACGGATGGATTGTTGGATGGATGTTAGATGGTTTATTGGATGGATGGATGGATGGAAGCATGTATGGATTTATATGTGGATGGATTCCTTAGGCCAAGCCGATCGATTTGATGTCTCACATGTGTGGGTGTGTAAGTCCATTTAGCCAGAAGATGATTGACCTCTCTCAACCAATCAGGGAGCTGGGAGGGAGCGGGGCACTTTCCCACCTTCTGACGGTCAATCAAATTTAACTTGTTTCTAGTTTTAAGTACAAACAGTTCAAAAAGATCAAAAACAGGAGTCTGTTAATGGCTCAATATTCAGCTTTTTAATATTCATTCCTATGAGACTTGATTAAAGTGATTTGTAGTTCCTTGTGTTGCCATGGTAACAGATGACAGGAGTCTTTGAATAACATTTCTATATTAAAGTATGTTGATACAGTTGTGTCTAAAATGTTGTTAAATGTTGTTGCTAAACACGTTGCCATGGTAACGCAGAAGACAACATCAAGTTAATACAAGACTCCTGGGACGAAGCAGGTTGAATTGATGTACCATATGTGTGGGTGCACATTTCCTTTTAGGCAGAAGATGATTGAAAACTCTCAGCCAATGAGAGAGCAGCGAAGGAGGAGAGGGTGGTTCCTGCCTTCTGACTAGTGTTAAAATGTCAGCTATGCTGCTAGTTTTAAGTGTATAGACCTCAGAAAGATAAGAAACAGCAGTATGTTGTCCTGGGACTTCGAAGGAGGACTTGGCGCTGGTCCAGGATTTCCTTAGGGAACTGGTCAT